ATCCAGCAGGCCTGGGACCTCCTGCATTCCAACCTCATGGAAGGAGGTTGCGCCCAGGCTCTGAGGAGGTGAGGACAGCCCAGGTGCCCCACAGATCCAGGCCTTCCTGATGCATATTCTCAAGGAGATTCTCGTGTGTCTTTCCAGGCAAATGCAGATTTCACAAGGCTTCTCTTGTCATGATTGTCAAGAAAAGCTAAAGGATAAATACAGAGATAAAAGCGTCCGAGAGAGCCTGCTACCCAGATTTCCACTCACGCTATTATGTTTCTTAAACAATTTCATCGGTTTCTGACTGTTGTCAAGTTGCACGGTGTTTCATATGATTATTCCCACAGAGATGAATTACGTGGGGGTGAGTCCCTGGGGTGCCAGGCGATGTCTTTCGCTCTCCCGGCGACCTCCCGGCTGCAGCAGGGCTGGGGACCCCCTCTGTGCGCACCTGGTGGGACCAACCTTGGGCACGTGTGTGTCCCTGGCCACTAGATGGCGCTCCAGCATCGCTCAGGGCAAACCCTGCTGCTCAAGGACACGTGGGCCCAGCATTCTCTCTGCTAAATGCCAGGCTTTCAGAGAAATTTCCGACGAGTTGATTGATGCCACAGCAAGTAGGGAAATAGTGATCATGCGTGTAGGGTGCCCACATATCTATGCCTATTTCCCTCCTGTTTTGTCAAGTCAGTATCACTGTGCTAGAATTTATTATTAAAACATATCCTTGGACGGATTTCCACCAGGCATCATTCCACCGTGCCCCTAGACTGGATGGGGCGCATTGTGCTTCTGGAGCTCAGGTTCCCCATCTCCCGGGATGTGATTGCTCCTCATCCTCTCTTCTGCCCCACCAGGCAGGTGGCTCAACCCAGCTTTGGAATCACCTGGAAGACTCCGCTTGCAGCGCCCCTTGCCCACCACAGGCTGTCATTCCATCCGTCTACGGTGCAGCTTGGGCCCTGGGCTCTGGGCGTTTTGAGCCCTCCCCGGTGAACCTAATATTCTGGCAAGGTGGGGAATGTCCCTGAGGGCAGAGGTTCTGTTCTTCCTTCTGTGGGATGCTCGGTGCCTGGCAACATCTGACACAAGCCAGGTGCTCAACAAATGTGTGTCCAACAAGAGGATAGAAATTGGTCCTTCCCCTGAGGTCTAAAGGAAAGACAGTCTCCAAAACCAGCCTCCACCACAACTGACAGGTGTTTATGGAAGGTTTTCTGTGCCATGCTTTGCCCACCTCAGCTCCATCCTGAAACATGTGATGGGGGGGCAGTGGGTGTAGAGCACGCAAAGGGATGCATTCCCCAGGAAGACTCCTGGAATACCACTTCCAGGTCTGCATTGGCCTCAGGTCCCGAGGGAGGCCAGCCTGGGAGCCCCCTGTCCCGCCTGCCGCCTGGGAAGCTGCTCTAGCCCTGCTCAGCCTGAGTTTGGACCTGGTTCCTCTCTGGAGTTGGGTGTGTGTGTGTGTGTGTGCACGCATGTAGGTGGTGGGGGCAGGAGGCTCCCAGGGTTCAGAAGTGGCCCCTTGGAGGAACCCTGCTGACCTGCTTGTGACCGTACCCTTTCCCTGTCTTCTGTTTCTGTGGGAGGGGTCTCCCCCAACCACCCTGGAAGGGCCCCCTTCCCACAGTCAGAAAGAAAACCACAAGGCCCAAGGAGTCACTGAAGTTAAGGCATCAGTAAAGCCAGATTTAATACTTAACCTAACTGCAGTTTCAAGCCCCTCTGGAATGTAACCTTTAACCTGCCACACTGGCATTTCCTGGAGGCACCCCTCTGAAAGACCCTGTCCCCCTTACAAGGGCGACCTTGCCTAAACAACGCTAATGAATTCCTTAAAAAAAGGGAGGCTTCTCTCTGCGTTTATAAAGCTTTCCTTTTCTGCACCCTGGCAGAGCATCTCTCTGCTGGCTAGACTGGATGCTGCCCCATTCATGAGTCACTTAATAAAGCCAATTAGATCTTCAAATGTTTGAATTTTGTTTTTTAACAGCCCAGAGGGCCCAATTCAGGGATCCATTCTTCTTTTAAAATTTATTCCTGGGGCTCTTGGGTGGCTCAGTCCATTGAGCTGTCCGCGTCCGACTCTTGATCTCAGGGTTGTGAATTCAGGTCCCGTGTCGGGCTCCGAGCTGGGTGTGGAGCCTGCTTAAAAAAAATTTATCCTCGGGGCGCCTGGGTGGCTCAGTCGTTGAGCGTCTGCCTTCGGCTCAGGTCACGGTCCTGGGGTCCTGGGATCGAGCCCCGCATTGGGCTCCCTGCTCGGCGGGGAGCCTGCTTCTCCCTTCCCCCTGCGGGTGCTCCCTCTCTCGCTGTGTCTCTCTCTGTCAAATACATAAATAAAATCTTAAAAAAAAATTTATTCTCTTCCTGGGGCTCCGAATGGCTAAAGTGAGGACAATCTGAGCATCCAAAATTATTCGTCAGTGTTGAACAAAGAGAGAGAGAGGTGGGTGGGACCTCCTTTAGAAGAAGGCAGCTAATAAATGTGGAAGGAATCGGAGAATCTCCTTTGTGCGACGGGACGTTCAGTGGGTGCTTACATCACTGGCTGGGGGCCCTGGGTAGACCGGCTCCTGCCTCAAGCGCACAGTGAGCCACAGGGAGGCCCCTTAGAGTCGAGATCCACCTCCATGGGAGGGTCAGGCCCAGCATCTGCCGGAGCGGGGCCCGGACTGTCCATCGGATGAGGTGCAATAGAAGGGGCACAGGGCCCTTGTGTCCCCCGTGAGTAACCAAATCCAGCTGAGGCCCTGGATCTCCCTCTCAGACCACAGGAAATGTGGGTACAGAACAGGAACAAAGTAACAGCCCTCCGGGGGAACAATCCACACATCACACACTGGATCATTCTATAGGATACTGTGTCTGGGGTCTTGTAAAAGTCAACGTCATGACAAAATAAGATCAGGGACTAATGAGCAATACCTAACAGCAACAGTGAATTTAGATTGCGACCTGGTTTCAAAAAAAAAGAAAGTAAGACAGCCAAGACTTTCTGGCCATACTTGGCGGATTTTTGAATATGGACTAGAAACTAGATGATATTATGGAATTATTCGAAAATGATTTGAGCACAATAACTTTATGATAATGCAGGAGACTGTCCTTATTTTGAGGAGGAACATGTGGGAACATCTAGGGGAGATGTCATGGTGTCTACAACTTACTTCCAAGTGGGAGGGGAGAGAGAGAGAAACTCGGTAATAATTGTTCAGTCTAAGTGGAGAGTACGTGGATGCTCATTAGACTACTTTTTGAACTTTCTTGTGTGTTTGAAAACTTTCATGATAAGTTGTAGGACACATAAAACCCCCCGCCTCTTCATCCGTCTGGGGCACAGATGAGCTAGTGTCCTGGGGCTGCCCATCCTCACGTTGCTGTGTTGCCCTGTCTGAGCCTCACCCTGAGCTGTGAACTCTTTTCTAAAAAAGTGTGCAATTCAGTGGCGTGAGCCCATTTATAGTGGTCTGCAACCACCCCCTGACTCCAGTTCCAAGGCATTTTCATCCCCACCATTAAGCAGTTACCCTGACAACCAGCCATGTCTCTTTTCTGCACATTTCATATAGATCCGGTCATGCAGTGTGTGGACTTCTGTGTCTGGCTTTTTCCACTTAGCATCATGTTTTCAAGGACCCAAGCTGGAGCATTCAGCCCAGCTCAGTTCTGTTTAATGGCTGAATCATAATCCATGGTGTGGCTGGACCACATTTTGCTTATCTGTTCATCTGTTGCTGGGTATTTGGTGTTTCTACCTTTCTGTCTATTGTGAATTGTGCCGCTGTGAACATTTCTGTGTAAATATTTGTTTGAACACTTGTTCTCACTTCTTTCGGGGATGGAGCCGGGAGTGGCTCTGGGGCATACGACGACTCTATGTGTAACTTTCTGAGGACGTGCCAGACTGTTTTCCTGGCTGCTCCCTCTCCCAGGCCTGGGCCGGCACCTGCCTGCCCTGGGCGGGGTCCTGGCTCCTCCTGTTCCTGTGCCCATGTAGCAGGGGCTCTTCCCTGGGAGGAGCTGACCTCTGCGCCCCCTGGGGCCTCCCTGGGGCTGGGGAGGTGGGAAGCAGCAGCTCTGCTTCGTGTTGATGGACTCCCCTCCCTTGAACTGGAGCAGAGACAGCTGGGGTCTGGGGGCCTGCAGGCCTGCTCTGGGGCCTCTTGAGTGTGGACCGACAGAAGTCCCGTCATCTCAGGGTTCCTGAGACCTTGCAAACAGTGCAGGCAGAGGCCTGTGTGCTTTGGGTGTGGAAGTAACTGGATAAGCCTGTCCCCACCGCCCTCTGGGTTGGAGTGGGCCTTGGGGAAGCGGTCTACACTGAACACACACACCGTGTTGGCCTGCAAGCAGATGCTGTGCCTGCCTGAGCTGTGGAACGAGGCGGATGTTACTCTCCTGGGGTGTTCAGATGTGGAAATTGCGTCTCAGAGTTAAGGGCTGGGCTCAGTTGCCTGGTCGGAGGCAGGACACAGGGACATCTTGGCACAATTTGAAACAGGTGGTAAAAGGAAACACTGTGGTTCATCTGAGGTTCATGTCTCCTGCTATTGATTAGAAACAAGCAGCTCATGCTTCTCTTTCTCCTCCGAGTGCCAACAAGGGAGGTAAAAGGGACTGGGCTCGGAGAGGGACAGGTCAGGCTGAGGGGCTGTGCTGCCCTCCCCTGGGGCCTCCTGCACGGGGTGGTGCAGTGTGCAGCCTGGGCAGCCACTCAGAGCGGCCTGGGTGGAGGGTACGATGGGCTGCAGGTGATCCTGGAAGGCCCCACTCCCCTACTCAGTGTGGGGTGCCCTCGGGCAAGTCATGGCACCTCTTGGCTGCTGGGCTCTCAGTGTCCTTCCAGGCTAACATCCCATGAGGACGAACAACTCCCAGTGGCCACCACAAAGACGCACCTCAGCAAGGCCAGCTGCTTTTATTAGGATCGAGGGGGAAGTAGCCTGTGGAGGGGGGGAGGCTGGGGGACGGCTCCTGGAATTATTCCTCCGTGGGCTGGGCTGTCACCCATCCTGGGAGGGCTGGGTGCCTCCTCGCAGAGGGAAGCAGGTCGGCTGGCGCCAGAGGCTCGGCCTCGCCACGTCGCCCAGGGCCGCTCTCCTCCGGCCGAAGCGGCCCACGGGCCTGATTCTGCGGCCCGTGTACCAGGCAGGATCGATGTCAGGGGCTGGGGAGGAAAGAGCTAGAGCCGAGCGTGGGTATGGGCGGTGTGTCCCCTGACACTGTGCACTGTGTGCTCCCGTGGGTGACAGGGCCCAGTGCACGCTCACAGCGCAACCCACAGGGGCCCCCAGCTTACCCCTGCACACCTGCCCAGGCCATGCTGGGACCCACCTGCACAGCAGGGACACCCAGGGCGGGTGGCGAGGCCAGTGTTGGTTTGGGGGGGGGCGTTGGGAAATGGCAATTCAAACTCACCAGCAACCCCTTCCTCCCCTCGCCCCACCCCCTGGTTCTCGGGCCAGGGGTGGGAAAAGCCAGCTCTGGCCCAGGCCACCCCGGGGGCAGGAAGTGACACCCTCCACTGTGTGCTGCTCGGGGGCAGGGGCGCCGGGGAGCCGGTGACAGGGCCACTCTGTGGAAAGGCCTGGCGAACGGCAGGCCACAGCCCTCCCGGAGCTGAGGCACTTAGCAAGGCTGTTACCCCCGGTTAGGAGGTGGCCAGGCGCCGGCCACGGTCCCTGGGGGTGGAGGGGTGGGGGTGGGTGAGGGAGGCTGAGGGCCAGGGTCTGGGCACTCACTGTGGATCTCCATGGAATGCTGGTGGGCTTGGCTGGCAGCCCCCTTCAGGGCCAGGCCCAGCAGAAGCAGGCACAGGAGCCAGACCTGCAACGCCTTCATCCCCCCGGCTCCTCGCTCAGGCCCCGCTTGAGGTGGGATCCCACACGGAGGGCACAACCTGGGGCGGAAGGGCAGGAGCAACGTTATGTACACACGGGACCGCGTGCTCGCCAAGGCGGCCGCCTGAGATAATGTGAGCACGGTGTGTGTGCATGTGTGCACAGGTGTGTGCAAGCACACGTGAGTGTACGTGTGTACCAGTGTGCGTGAGGGTGTGTGCACGTGTGAAATGCATGTGTGCACACACACCTATATGTGGCAGTGTGTGCATGTGCGCTGGTGTACAGGAGAGTGTG